ACCTCTGAGTTTCTGAAATTTGGATTGGGTTTTTCCTGGGTTGGCCAGTTGGTTCCTTGTTTATCTTGTGACTCATGGGATAGGGACAGGCTGAACCCCTGTGGGTGTCACTGGAGAGCTGGAGCCCAGCAGGGACCCGGATTGTGCAGAGTCACGCTGAGGTGGTGGGGCAGGGCTGTGCCCGGCGGAGCTGAGCCAGGCTGAGCTTCTCCTGCGCACCCTGCATGAGCTGAGCCTCAGCCCCGAAGCGCTGTGCCTTGGCACTGTGCCTTGGGTGATGTTTCAGTTTTCTGTGCTTTGAGCTCTTTCATTTCTCTGATATCTGTTGGTCCATTTTTCTGGGAAGAGTGGCAGGATTCATGGCTGGAAGGGGCTGATTTGACCTCAGCATATGGCTGGCTGGGACAACATACATAGACGGCCAGCAGATCAGATGTCTGGTGTGGCACAACTTGGAGATGCCCAAGCAGTGGTGGACAGCATTCCTTGGCTTGAGGTCAGCGCCTCCTCACCCTGGGCCTGGCACAGAGCCTGCTCAGCCAGGGCAGTAACCCCATGGTACAAATGGCTTGCTGGCCTGTGAGGCTGCGGCTCTCCCCGGGGCCTCCCACAGGCCCCTGAAGCTCATGGAAGGGGATCCAGGATGCCCACCGTGGCCTCAGGCCACCCCTCAGCTTAGCCAGGTGTCTAGCCTGTCTGAGGAGAGAGGTGTTGAGGAGGATGACAGATGGAGAGAGGCCAGGTGATCTCAGCAAGGCCCCCATCCTAAGGTTAATGAGAGTATGTAGAAAAGAATTCAAGTTGTAGGAAGAATTCCATTCTGTGTGTGGAGAATGGATTGAACCAGGGCAAGAGAAAAAGTGGCAAGAAGACAGTGAAGAGGCCGTGTGGGCCCAGGAGTGAGAGCGTACAGTCCTGGACTTGCAGCAACAGCAGGGGCGGCAAGCACAGTGTGGTTTGGACACCTCTGTGGGAGGTGGGGTTGAGGGAGTTGAGAGGGGGAGCTGGAGGTGACTCCTGGCTTTGCAATGTCGGAACTGGATGTGGGGAACACCTTCTCCTGGGATGCAGACAGTCAGATTTCAGGGCCTAATGGCTTTGAACTGCCTCTCAGTTCCTCAGGTAGAGAATGTCCTGTGGCAGCTGCCCGGCAGTCCTGGGGCTTTGGGCTGACGCTATCCAGCTGGGAGCTGGTGCAGAGAAGGAAATTAAGGGAACAGACAGGAGGGTGCGGGGCCATTCGGGAGGTGTGGCAGTGAGGACAAGCGTGTCTGAGGAGATTGCAAGGGACAGGCCAGAGGCTGGGGGGCCATTTGGTGTCACAGGAGGTTAGGATATAAAAGGAAGCAGTCCCAAGGTGGATTCTGCTGCCCAGTGCCTTCCTGGAATGCAGAAGTCCAAGATCAGTGCCTTCTTCAAGGTAGGACTTGCTGTAAGATGTGGGCCTACATGTTGGCTTAGAGTCAGGAGAGCTGCTGCCTCTCGGGTTCGCTTGAGGTGGCACTGGCTGAGAAGCGTGGCACTTGGCTGCCCTCTCCACTGCCCTGCACCTGGGGCTTTGCTTTGAGAATGCTGTGGGTGTTCCAAAGAGGTCAATGGGAAGATTGGGACTTGGGGGGCAATTGGTGGGCCCTGAAGGGTCCGTGAGGATGGGGACTTCATTGAAACTGTTGGAACCTATTACACTCATTCCTTTCGTTCATTCATCCGTGCATGTATTCGCAAGCTACTTGGGGCCAGTCTCTAGTAGATGCTGGAGACCTGGGCACCTCAGGCATGGTCCCTGTCCTCGAGGAGCTCCCAGGATGGTGGGGGAGCAGACAGAGCGTGTTAGAGTGGGCAGCAGGAGGGACCCCGCAGTGAGAATCTGCCAGCTCTCAGACCGGGCAAGGGAGATTAGAGTAGTTGTGCTTAGGATACCAAGACTGGCTTCCACGAGGAAGAGATGCGTGGGGTGGAAGGAGACATTGCGGGATTGTAGGTTGAAGAGATCCATGCACACAGTCTCAGAGTGCAGTGGAGCTTGTGCCCTGAACGTGCTTTGCTGTGGTTGGAGGATGCAGTGTGCAGTGGCAAGGTGAGAGTTAGGGCCTGAAGTGGCCCTGAGTCCCAGGGGCACTGAGCTCTGCCTCGAGGATGCTTTACCTCAACGATCTGTTAATGGAGTGGCCTGACCCAATGCCCTGTGTGGAAAGGCCTCCTGATGCTGTCGGAGGTGCACTGGGCAGCAAGGCTGATGGGAGGGGCTGCTTCTGAGGTCCAGGAGAAACATGGGGAGGGCGTCTGGGCATTGGCGCACGGGGGGTGGGCGTGGCGCAGGGTGCAGGGAACGTGGTCGCAGCCCTGAACCGTGGGCACTGTGTCGCAGGTGGACACGCACATCCACGCAGCAGCCTGCATGAACCAGAAGCACTTGCTGCGTTTCATTCAGCACACGTACCAGACGGAGCCCGACAGGACTGTGGCCGAGAAGCGAGGCCAGAAGGTCACCCTGAGGCAGGTGTTCAGCAGCCTGCACATGGACCCCTACGACCTCACCGTGGATTCGCTGGACGTGCACGCGGTGAGTGAGCTTCCGCTCCCGAGCCTCAAGCAGAAAACGATGGAATATTATGTAGTCTTGAAAAGGAAGAGTAAATGATTTATTGGTGGTTGTTTAATGGCCTACTGTCTCCAGTCAGCTATGTTCTCCAAGCACAAGGCCCTTGATATTCCTTCAGAGAGGGCCTCGCCGAAAGGCCCTGTGGCTGGCCACGGAAGGATGCGTGGTTCTGGCCCTCAGGCATCTCCAAGACTGCATGTCAGAAACCACTTGGGAGACATCCTTCAGGGTGGCCACATGAAGGCCACCTTGTAAGGCCAGGAGGAGAGAGTGTGTGTGGTGGCTGCAGACTGATTGGTGACCTGGCTGGCGGTCTCCTTCCCCAGGACCGGCAGACATTCCATCGCTTTGACAAGTTCAACTCTAAATACAACCCCATGGGGGCCAGTGAGCTCCGTGACCTGTATTTAAAAACTGAAAACTACCTGGGAGGAGAGTACTTTGCTCGTATGGTCAAGGTGAGTGAGCTCTTAGACTCCCCTGCATGGCCCCTTTTCTTTTCCCCTCCCAAGTCCCTCTCTGTCCGCTCAGGCAAGTCCCGAGGTGCGTAGGTGTCCATGCTCTGGCCCTGGCTGCCTGCTGCCGGGCACAGGCAAGCAGGTACCACAGTGGGTGCTGACTGCAGACAGGAGGAGGAGGGGATGTCCACCTCGGTAGTGTCTGCAGCACCCCGGGATGCTGTGTCCCAACTGCAGCCTGACCTTGGCTCGGTGCAGGCTGGCTCAGCAAGGAGATGCTGCCACTGCCCAGCCTGCTTCTGCAGCGTGATGGCCCAGGATGGTTCAGACAGCCTTCCTCCCTGCAGCGAGCCACGGGGTGTGAGTGCTCCCGTGGCAGCCAGCAGCACAGGGATTCAGAGCAGCTTGTGGGCTGGGGGTGGGTGGCTGAGGGGGGAGTCAGGGACCCAACTGGGACCCCTTGGGCTGACTCTGTTGGTTCTTCTCGATGCCAGGAGGTGGCCCAGGAGCTGGAGGAGAGCAAGTACCAGTACTCAGAGCCACGGCTCTCCATCTACGGCCGCAGCCCGGAGGAGTGGCAGAGCCTGGCCCGCTGGTTCATCCAGCACCAGGTCTACTCGCCCAACATGCGCTGGGTCATCCAGGTGCCCCGGATCTAGTGAGTGAGATGTTTGATGGCTGCCTCAGGCTGTCTGGGCTCCTGAGCCTGCACCTCGGAAGGGTGGGGCCTTTCTGGTGCCTAGTAGGTCTCTCCACCCCAGGGAGGAGTGTTAGGCAAAGATGTCCTCATGACAATTATATTCTTGCTCTTTACAGAATATATATGTAGCAAGGCTTTAGGGGAGCCCCTCCCTCACCTCCCATTGAGGGTTCAGATGAGCCCCCGGAATATGAGGTGCCTATTGCTGATGTCTCTCTGGGATCACCAGAGCACTTCCTTCCTCTCTAGGTAGTCTGGGCATGGGGCTGGGGGAGCTGCTTGAGGGGCAGTCTGCACTGCTGGGACACTGGAGTACTCCTTTCTCAGACTGGTCCTGCCTGAGTCCCATCGTTCCCTCTGGCTTGGGCCTCACCCTGCTGTGGCTAGGCAGGTGCTGAGCTCACCAGCCACCCCCGGGTATTGCAGGATATTGGGAGAGGAGGAGAAAGGCCAGGTCTGGGGCCTTCACCGGGAGGCAGGCTGAGGAAGGAAGGGGCTGGGCCAGTCCTGGCCAGGCCAAGGGGGCTATAAGGCCCTCCTAAAGACAAGTCTCTCCTTCCCCTAGTGACATATTTAGGGCAAAGAAACTGCTGCCAAACTTTGGAAGGATGCTGGAGAACATCTTCCTACCCCTTTTCAAGGCCACAATCAACCCCCAGGATCACCGTGAGCTTCATCTCTTCCTCAAATATGTAAGTGTAAACAAGCTCAATGTGACAGAACAGGTCCAGTTTCCCCCCGTCCCTCACTGTCGCTCCCTTCTCAGTTCCTGTCTCCGCTGGGCCGCAGGGGTGGAGCTCTGAGCCCCAGGAACCTGACCCTATGAAATATGGGAGCCTTCCTGAAGGGGTGTCACCCTCTCCCAGAGGCAGCCCTGGGTGTGGGTGGCGCTGCCACTGGCCAGGCTGTGCCCCAGCTGGGAAGGAGAGTGCCACCAAGGGCTGACAGTTCCTGCCAGGGAGGTGAGAGGAGCAGCTGCTGTGGACACAGAAATACGGGCTTTTTCACACCATATTTGATTCAGTACAGTAAGCCCCACAGCGTGTACTTCTCTTCTGGGTTTGGGTAGCTATAGGAGAGAAGCAGAAGGAAAGGGGTAGAGACTGGAGAAAGACAGGAAAGGAGGGGATGGTCCTTCCTCTGGATGCCTGGAATAAAGGGGACATTAGAAGGGGCAGCATACAGGACCAGGTGACACTGGACAGGGAAGAGTCCTGGGGAGAGGGGGCATTGAGTCTGGGGTAGGGGCTGTGGGGAAAGTATATGGACAAGTCGAGGGATGTGATTGAATTTATATCCCTCGAGCTGTTGTTCTGAGGGACAAGGTGGCCACAGGTGGGGGAGGGGCAGGATGAAAGGCTGGGACATGGTGGGTGTGGAGTCGCTGGTAACAGCTTGCATCTACTGTTGCCTGCTGCCTGGCCAACTGTGTTCTGCCCCCAGCGTCGCCACAGCCTCCCACTTATCCCCTCTGTGTCTCCATTTCTGTCAGCACCATAGAGGTGGTGCTGTCCTAGAGCAGTGGTGGTGAGCCTGTGGCACGTGTGTCACGCAGCTGTTTGTATCACTGAAAGCTCTAAAATGTTCCCCATCACTATGCTAGAGGTTGTGGGGAGGTCCCCAGGAATTCTCCTCTTTAATCCTCACCGCAGCCCTGAGAAGCCCCTGGCTCCAGGTTCACACTGGAGGAAATTAAACAGAGAGGTACCCAACCTGGGAGGTGGCAGAGCTAGAATCTGTTCAACGCCTCCTGGGAGGGGTGGTGGGCTGTGGCCCTGCATGGGGCAAGGCGGGGGCTCTGGGTTCTTGGTGAAGAAGTGCTGTGGAGACCCCACACAGCCCAGGCATGTCCCAAGGTTTCCTCCACCTACACCCCCAAAGGGCAGGCCTAGGCCTGGGTGTCCTACTTGGGTGACTTCCTTAATCACTTAGTCCCTGGCTTGTACAACTATAGAATAAAGCTCACAGGCCCCCCCTCCCCACAGTGTGGCTCCGAGCTTTCAGTTAGCTGCTGTGTGTGAGGGGCTTCAAGCAGGACCTGGTGTGTGGGTGTATGACATGCAGTAGCTCCCCTTCTCTATCACAGCTTGTCACTGCTGCTGCAGGCAGTGACCACTGTCCCCTGCAGCGCTGGCTTCCTGGGCACAGTGGAGGGACAGGCCATGGATATGGCTGCCTCTCTCTAGTCCAGCCTGAATTCCCCCATGGTCACCACGGCTACATAGGGGTGGGGCACTCGCCAGCATGGCCTGGGCACCTGGGCAGCTCTGAGGGAACGGAGTGCACTGCGGTACCTTGGAGAAAGGTGGCCTCAGCCAGAGGTTGGGCCCAGCTGAAGCGCAGCACCAGAGGCCGGGGCTGCTCAGCTCGGCGCTGCCGGATGCTGAGCTGAGTGCATCCCGGCTTCCCGCCCTGCGTGGTGCTGAGGATGCTCTCCCCTGCCCAGGTGACGGGATTCGACAGCGTGGATGATGAGTCCAAACACAGTGACCACATGTTCTCGGACAAGAGCCCCAGCCCAGACGACTGGACCAGCGAACAGAACCCGCCCTACAGCTACTACCTGTACTACATGTACGCCAACATCATGGTGCTCAACAACCTGCGCAGGTGCGTGAGCCAGCCCCTTGCATTCACATGTGACCCACAGGGGCACTGTAGCCAACACACATGTCCACGTGTCTGCAGGGACACTGAGACTGCACAAGCATGTCCCACGATTGCACACACACGCAGGCATGCCTACTACCGCCCGCGGGCTGGTATGGGCATGGGTTATATGTATAATGATGTACACACCACACATGTCTGTATGTACAAATCACCAACACACCTCTGTGTGGACCTGCACCTCTGAGACAGCAGAAACACAGGGCCTGCCAACCCATGCGTGTTTTCGGCACCACGCAACAAGGCACATGCGTTCATTTGTGCTCTGCACTGCAGAAGATTGCAGCTGCACTGTGACAGGCACAGTCCTAGGCACGGGGCAGATAATGGGGAGGAAACGGGCCTGCCATGGATGCCTTGTGGATGCTCTTATATGTGTGGCCTTCCCCACACAGAAAGAGGCAGGCATGCGCAGGGGCTGGGTGTCCTGAGGCGGGGACGCTCGTCCTCCCCTTTTCTGTAAGTCTTGCCCCTCCCCGCTTACCCCACTGGGCCCAGGGTTCTCTTTAGCATGGGCTGTGGCAGAAAGGAGAGGCCTAGGTCTAGGGTAGTGACTCCTGGGCTGAGCTTTTGGGACGAGGGCTCTAGTTCTAGTTGCCAGTGACCTGCTTGTGGGTCTGGACATAGACTTCACTCTCTGGGCCTTGGTTTGCCCAATTTTGTAGCAAAGGAGTTAGGCTTGGTTTCTTATCATGCTTCCTGCTCTGGAGCTCTGATTGAGGACTCAAGGCCTGGTGAGGGGACAGCTGGGTAGAGGACAGGCCAGGCTCTCTACCACCAGCCCCTCGCTGTCTGTATGGTCATGTCTGCTGGCTCTGGCATTGCAGGAGAGGTCGTCTCTGGAGTGTGCCAGCCAAGCCACAGGCGACGGACTTGCCGGGAGTGGGGCTGGGGTGTTGGCCCAGGCAGGGCAAACAAGGGTGCTTCCTGACCCAGAGCCTTCTTTCTCCAGGGAACGAGGCTTGAGCACATTCCTGTTCCGGCCTCACTGTGGGGAGGCGGGCTCCATCACCCACCTGGTGTCTGCCTTCCTCACTGCCGACAACATCTCCCATGGGCTGCTCCTCAAGAAGGTAAGGAGCCACTCCCAGGAGCCTGCCCCCGCCCCGGGCCCTGCTGCCCTGGGCTCCTGGGCTCCTGGCCAGCCCCTGCGAGCTCTGGCCAGTGATACTACAGAGCCAGGGCTTTTTTCTGGACTGGGCTATGTGTAGTCATCTTGGTTTCATTTTTGATTATGAAAGCAATATAACCAAACATATCCCAATCTAGGTTTTCCAAAAAATGGAGGAATAAAAATTTTTAAAAACTGATCACTATTACCTTATAGAATCAGCTCTATTAGCTTTTTAGTATTTCCAACTCTTGTCATTTATCCACGCCATATTTTAATCTATTGACAATGAACACAGAATTTTTGTTCCTACTTTGTCCCTTGAGATTGTGTAACAAGCATTTTTCTGCGCTGCATGTAATGCCTAAATTCCTCGCTCCGCAGGCCTCTGGATGAACCACTGGCCGCCTGGTCTATAATTGGCCCTGCTCGTTCCCAGCGGCGAGCACGCAGTGGCCATCTGGCTCTCCCGGTGTGAGGTGCTGCCATGAGCTCTGGGCACTCGCTCAGGCTTCCCATAGTTTGGGCCGCTGCCACAGGAGTGAAGTTTGCTTGCAGTCGTTTCCCACACTGACCCTTGCAGGCCCAGGCTCACGTCACATTCTGGTAGCCAACGTGCTCATCAGAAGACTGCAGGTCCAGCTCTGCCCAGCCTTCGGGGTCCATCTCTGAGGGGCTGGAGTGCTTACAGTCCTAGTTGGGAGGTTTGCAGTAAAGCCACCCACGCGGGGCATCTGGAGGCCCAAGCGCGGTGGGTCAGGGCCCAGGAAGGGGAGGGGAAGGCGCTCACCAGAGACAATGCCCTTGTGCTCCAAGCAGTGCTTCCCCTCTGGAGCCAGGAGTGGGGACGGGACCAGGGCCTGGAGGGCTGGCATGTGACACAGGAGCAAGAGAGACGGGGCCAGGGAGAGAGGACAGTGCGTGAGTCTAGGAGTTATGTGGCTTTCGGGAACTCAGAGCTGGCCAGTACAGACCCAGCCCAAGCTCTGGGTTCCGCTGCTGAATGTCTATCCTGTCCCTCCCCGCATGTGTCACCTGAGCTTGCTGGTTCTTTTTTGCAGAGCCCAGTGCTGCAGTACCTCTACTACCTTGCCCAGATCCCCATCGCCATGTCTCCTCTTAGCAACAACAGCCTTTTCCTGGAATATTCCAAGAACCCCCTGCGGGAATTCCTGCACAAGGGGCTGCACGTCTCCCTCTCCACGGATGACCCCATGCAGTTCCACTACACAAAGGTGAGGGTCTGGCCATGGTGTTTCAGTGGTGTCCATCCAATCCTGTCCTTCCACCATGGGGTCCTATGCCCAGAGCTCGGTTGGGCCTTTAGGGTGGGGTTGGTAGCGCAGAGAAGGCAAAGGGCAAGTCCTTTTGGGCATCCCTGGACCCTTGGAGACACCATTGGATTTCCTGGTCTTTCTCTGTTTCACCTTTCTTTGATATTCAGTTGTTCTTTAACCTTGGTAAAGTTATTGTCCCTCTCTGTATTGAATTCCTCTTTGTAAAATGGGCACACAATTGCCTCTATCTTCCTGTAGTGATTCAGATGGTGAATTCAAGTCAAATAGGATAGGGTCTAGAGGTGCTTTTTTATAATAGTAGTTTATGATTATTGTTGTACTTTCGCTCTCTGGGGAGACAGAAGGGAAGTGTGACATCATGCATGGCGAAGACCACGAGTGTGCCTAGCACACTGAGAAGGTTCTGACAAAACCAAGCTCTGCTTAGCCAAATGGAAGCATCCTGTAGCGTTTTAGGGCAGAGCTTCTCTGGCCTTTTGGTCTCTGGACCTCTTTAGTCTTTGCAAGAACTGAAGCCGTATGTGAGTTGTATCTATTGGTAGAAACTGATTAAAAAAAAAAAAAAAAAACAAAACTTAAAACATTAACTCAGTTAAAAATAACAGTAATGGACTTGTTACATAAATAGCAATTTTTTGGACAGTAACTACTCCTCAGAACAAAAATATCAGGGAGAGTGGCATTGTTTTGCAATTCTGTAAATCTCTTTAATGTCTTGCTTAATAGAAGACAGCTGGAACCCCATATCCACTTCTGCATTCAATTTGTTGTTTCTATCAGAGTTTGTGAAAATCACCTTGCATCACAAAGATACATAGTTGGCGAAGAGAGGACCTTTCAAAAGGTCTCTAGTTGCCAGAGGTCCTTGGATCACTCCTGGAAAACCACTGTTCTAGCAGAGGGAACAGGATAGGTGGGGGAAGAGGTCATAGAAGGGCTGGTGCCTAATGGCAGCGTTTTCATATCCCAGAAGATAAAGTAAGACCACTGCTCAAACTCAGTCCTTTTAGGATTTCACTATCTCTCCACTTGTGTTAGGCTCATTTCTCATTTAGTGTTCCTTCTTTGCTCTGAGTATTTTACTCATACTAAATTTTATTTTGGGGCAATCTTAAGAAAGCGGTGTTGAATACAAAGCAAGACTGAAGAACAGGAAGTATTAAAACTGGGTAGGACTAGAGAGCTGTTTGGTAAAGTTTTTTAGGATGCCATGGATGTGAACCAAGCATCTCTGTTGTGTTCAACGGCCAAACCAATGTAAATTTCCATCATAGTAACTGAGCTCTGGTTGCTTACAGGGGACCCTTAATTAACTAAGTAAGCTGTAAACAACCAAGTAGTTGAACTGTAACGAAGTGACTAAGCTGTAGCAAATAAGTTGTTTCCTGCGTCTTGCTCCTGATTTTCTATAACTGTGGGTGTCACAGTGTTGGTTGGAGTTCTGAGTCTGCTCTTGGTAGAGGAGCCACTCTCTTCAAGTGTCATTTTTTTCCCCTTGATAAACTATTAAACTAGTCTAGGAAAGTCTCCCTTTAACAGGGATTGTCACAGAAAAGTGGAGCCTAGCACCCCTCTAGTGACCAGCCTTGAACATGATAGGCTGTCCTGGTCAACAGACAAGTGCAGAGGAGAGGTGTTCTTTTAATTTTCTGTTTGGTGACCTGCAATTTCTCTCTCTCTCTCTCTCTCTCTCTCTCTCTCTCACACACACACACACACACACACACACACACACACTCTCACGGAGCCTGGAATGTGAGGTGTGATCTCCTCTGAGTATCAAGGTCTTGGTTGGTAAGGAAAGGTGAAACCGGCAGCGCACGTTGGTTTTGGTTTTGGCAATCCACGCAGTGTTGCCACGACCCTGCCATCTCACCTGTGTGCTCTGGGGCGGGCTCTAGGAAGCACTCATGGAGGAGTACGCCATCGCCGCGCAAGTGTGGAAGCTGAGCACATGCGACCTGTGTGAGATCGCCCGGAACAGCGTTCTGCAGAGCGGCCTCTCGCATCAGGTATGGGGTGCAATGGGCTGGCCCTGTCCTTCTGCTTTCAGTAGGTAGGGAGAGAACCTACTATGTGCCGCGTGCCCTCAGGGCACTGGGGATCTGTGACAAACAGAACAGCGTCTCTGGTGCAGTGACACTCAGGCCCGGAGCAAGTCCTTTGGAGCCTTGTGAATGCGTGGCTGCTCCTTCGCCTTTCCCAGACACCCTTGGAGCAGCTCTCCCTACCATGTAACAGCCTCACACTTGGTCATCTTCTGCCCGCTCCCCTTGTTCTTCAGAACCCTTCTGACCACTGACACTGTACCATTTCCTAAGGACCATGGCTTGTTCCGTTAGCTCCTGGGGCCCCAGAACACAGTAAGCGCTCAGTACCTCTGGGTAGATGACTACCGTCTAGGGTGGATACAAGGAGACTCCAGGGACAGCACCTGCAAGGCAGCAGTGTGTGCATTGCCTGCCGCACGGTTCTGATGTGGAGCCAGCGTTAGAACTGTGCTCTGGGGAATCACAGGTCGCTGGCGGCCACCTTGGCTGTCACTGGTATAGGAAGGGGTGACATTAGGTGCTGCCCTCGTGGATGGTGATTTGGAAGTTAACCCGTTTATGCTGAAGAATGCAATTTTTTGACATTTGCATATGATGTTCATAAGTGTTACGTACAAAAATTTAAGAAACAAGAATTTGAGGAGAAAACATTATGTTGCGTTATTTTGGGTGCTCCAAAAATGGAACAGTAGACATTGAAGGGGAAAGGCTCAGGTTGGAGTTGTCCCTGGAATAGACCCTCCCAGACACACTCGTCTGCCCTTGTCACCACCCAGACGGTTAGGAGGAGCCTCAACTTTACCTTCCCCATCTCCAGCAGCTCCTGCAGCTCTTTCCTTCCTGATCAAGGAAATCACAGACATGAAGGGAATGGCAGACGTGACAGGGTGACATTCTCTAGGACACACAGGCTGGAAGGGATTTCAAGAGTCCTGTGGGGAGATGTCCTGATTGAGCATCCGCTTCGGGGGGCTCTGTGCTGTGGATAATGTGGAAGAAGCTGCCGGTGTAGATAAAGAAAGTGGGTCGAAGGTATATTGTTTCATTGTGTTTCTCTTGATCCACAGGAAAAGCAGAGGTTTCTGGGAGAGAATTACTATAAAGAAGGACCTGAGGGAAATGATATTCGAAGGACGAATGTCGCGCAGATCCGGATGGCATTCCGACACGAGACTCTATGCAACGAGCTCAGCTTCCTGTCTGATGCCCTGAAATCAGAAGAGATCACAGCACCGGACAACTAGGTCCAGCAGTCAACTTCCACCTTAATTTTTTGGCTTAATTTCAGGCCTTCTGGAGCTACTGTGGTCAAGAAATGAAACCAAGGCTTTCCTCTGTGAAGAGGACACCGCTGAAGGAATTTCAGACTTGCTGTTCAGGTCACACTGTTCACTTTAAGACTGAACATGCCCACTTGTGTTACTATGGCTGAGGAAGGGTCGGTGACCTCCTCGGTGACCTGGGAGCTGGCACTTGTCTGTACTTATTCCTGATTTTCCACATATTTCTCTTGTAACTGCCAGTGCCTGAGTTGTTGGGGCTAGGATCTTGCCATGGCCAAATGCCAAGAACCATGAGGTGTTAGGATTTCCTGCCACAACCTTTCTGTACACCTTGTAGGCGAACTGGTAGTTGTTCATTTCAGCCTCTGGCTGGCTGGATGCCTTAAATAAAATCAACTTCAAAGCTCCCTTTCATAAAGGGGCTATTTTGAGAGGAAATAGATAACCTCCTTTTGACAATTTGTTGTTTAGGAATTTCTTAACCTGGTTAGTCCCCCTTGGTCTTTTTTTTTTTTTTTCTTTTTGCGGTACTGGGGATTAGAACTCAGGACCTTATGCTTGCCAGGCAGGCACTTAAGCTACTGAGCTATATCCCTGGCTCCCCCTTGGTCTCTTCCAGGAGGAAGGCCTGTGTACTCATGAATGCAGCCTTTGTTATTCTGTTGCTTTAGTGAGGGTCCAGATTATAGACAAGTGTTTTCAAATGTGCTGTGAAGCCCCGCACAGACCACTCCAGGGGCGAGGAAGAAACAGAGCAAGGTTTTGGCAGCTATCAGAGTGACTGCTTTCATCAGCTTTACTTTGGGCCTGCTAAATATTTTCACTAGAACCAAGGTCCGGGTGATCCCTGTTCCCCTTGGCTGTACCTACCCTGTGTTTGTAGCCCAGTCATCATGTACCAATGAAGTCAGGCCAGTAGAGGGAGATGCACCAAAGGTCACGGCTAGTAAGTAGTTTCAGCAGGTCTCACATATATTAATTTTTTAAAAACCACTATAACCTAGCACAGTTTTGTTGAAGCAAAATTTCTCCCTTTCTTAAAATGAAGACTTCTTCAGACACTATAGTGGCTCCAAGGGCCAGGTAGAAAGCATTTTCAAAAGACCAATCTGCAGTTAAGCTTTATCAGTGCTGCTCTTCCTGTGTTACTAGTGCCTAGTACATAGTAGGTGCTTAAATGCATGTGGAATCAATTTCTCTTTTGGCAACTTTTTAAGGATATATACACTTGATTACTCAACAAGCTGCTCAAGGATCTTTCTGTGTTTGTGGGCAAATTCAGACTCTAGAGAGTCTTTCAGAATCACTGTATAGTGGAAGCCAATTTTTGTCTGGGAACGTTTTTCCTTCATATTAGATTGTCTTGCCCTAGGACTATGCCTGGCCATCCAGTGGTCAATTTAGTATCTGGGACAATAAATGTAACCTTTTTACTTGGCAAATACATTGGCTATTGTATAGCTAATTATGAAACTGATGAAAGCCAGTCATTATCTGAGGGATGCTTTTTTTCCCCCCCTTTGGTACTGGGAGTTGAACTCAGACCTGTGCACTTACCAGGCAGGCACTGTGACACTGAGCTCTATCACCAGCCCCTCATTATTTCTGAATTCCATGTGAATACATTTGCCCTAACATAGCAAGTACTGTATAGTTTTTCATTGTTATTTTACCTATATCAAGTATTTTTTTAAATTATGAACTAAAGTGTGAAGACTGGACTCAATAATTTAAAACTATTTCAAGTTAATATTTAAAGGAAGTTTGTTTTTTAAAACTGGACATAATGAAAAGCTATCAGGAACTTTATTTTTTTACTGAGACATGGATGACACTAGTGAAGCTTCCTGGACCTAGAAGGTCACCTTTGCTATCTTTCCCTCCAACTTCTAGCCCATTGCTAGCTCGTCGGCGAAGCCACTCATCTTCATTTCTTCTTCCCAGGGCATCGCTGTAGCCTGTCCAGTCAACACGTGTTGGCTTTCCTGTATTGCAAGCTTTCCAGACATCTTTTTCTAGAGCACTGTGCATTTTCATTTTACTGTTGGTCTTAACTGGTCTTCTAAGGGTGAGACCCTACTGTCCTTTGTGTTCGCCCATGGGATCGGAGGCAGTGGTGCACTGTGCTAGTGCTTCTAACAGAATGGTTCTTAGGGCGGTGTTACTCCATACCTGTGCTGAAGGGTTTCAGTTTGCTTTATGTTATTCAAACTGTACTGTCAAAAGGATCATGCCATTACTCTCTGCCTGGTGATATTTATTTGGATCTGTTCCTGGCCTTTACTGTCTCCTGGATTAAAGTAGACTTGAAAGCACACACTTCTGACTTCCTCTTTATTTGCACTGTGTGGGTGAAGATGGTACCACTGTTTTCTGGGCTTGTAAACACAAGAGAAAATGGTATGTTGGTGATTATTCCTATGTAACTCCTACACAAAAGGAATATATATCACAAAAAGTTTCCTTTTGTGCCCCCAGGCTCTCAGGAGTAGAGGGTGACAGATAAGACTATCTTACAAAATTATCAAAATATATCTGAGGTATTTGACTTTGACACCAAAATTTCTCCACAGTACCCCACATTCACACGGTACTCTACATTCATGATATGTGTCAAATTACAAACTGCTTCCTTCTAGAAGCCTTTCCTCTTCTTGGTCTGAGTCCAATACTTCTCTAATACATTTCTTATATCCTGAAAACGATTTCACAAGGTAAATACCAAAGTACTACGAGGTAGAGTAGTCTATCAATTATTTCTGCTATCCATGAGGACAAAAGGACATGAATACAAGTGAGAAGTCTGTCAACTGTCAGTACTGGCTTCGTGGTGCCCATCATAACCGCGGGTGACCAGTTGATCCCCCAAGTCTCCCACTAGTTATGTTATTTCTGGTAAGGATCAGTTAATAATGACACAGCAGTTAAAAATGCAAATTCTCCAGACTGCCTTTTAATGAATTCAACTTCCTAATGTTAAAACCACTGAACCAAAAGGTCTTTCCAAGGAGTCTTATTATTTAGGTATATATTAGATACAAGGAAATCAAGTCCAATGTAATCTCATGACATAGCACACAAACATCACCACCCTCCAGAGCACAATATAAAATACTCCTCCTAGGGAATATAAATATTTAGTATATACGAAAGTAAAATTACATACCAAAAAATATTTTAAGTTAGCCAAAACTTGCTAAAGATTATTTATTGCACAATTTATCAGTTTCTCTTAATAAAACATACTATTGTCAACCTCTAAATTCAATACACAAACTCATATTCTCAAACTAAAGTTCTAGCATTCTAATTAGTAAACCCTTTGTTACTGAGTTAGCAGAGTGAACACTGTATAACTTATAACACACATTCCTTAAGACTACTATGAGACCACTTCACAAATCCGAGAAGGCACATGTATTTCCTATCATAGTGCTTTTAAGCACTTCATATTTAAAAAAGACAAAGCTGTACAAAGTAGGAAAAAATGTACATTTCATCTATTAAACAAATTTACAACACTTATGATTAGATATTACAGTAGAACCTATCTAACATTCATATCTCAAGAATTATCACCTAGTTTTAGTGGAGTGAGCAGAGAACCATGTCCATTTATTTGATAAGGCTAGTAGAAAACATTTTGTATTTCACAGTAGATCAGTTAGTATCTTGGAGCTTTTACGATAAAAAGGTGCAGGTAAGGTCAAGTCACTGGGCTCAACGGACTCAACTCCGTAATTTCTTCAAGGGTAAAGGATTCCACAATAAAGTCACCAGCTATACCTGGAAAGACTCAAAAACTTGTAAAGCAACATTGATTTTCAGAAACACTTTAAAATTAGGCAATCTGATTTAAACACACCAAGTCTAATCCAAAAAAGGCAATTTAAATTTCTTGAGTTGGAGAACATCTCAGAGGATTACTTATCCCAAAGTTCTTTCTGTAAGAACCAATGGAGGAGGTTTAGGAATATGTAGATTTGACTTCAACTGAAACTTGACCCATACCCTAAAAATTTTTAAACAACTGTCAAAATTTTTCACCAATTTCTAATCTACACATCAGCAGTGCATTATGTATTTTCACTGGTTGACTTAGTATTTACTTACTGGAGCATGTAAAGGGAACTTATATTAATATGACATAGTAGAGTAGGGTGTTCGCATGCACATGTGTGTAAGGGTTTCGAGATTTATGTTTTTGAGACAGAGTCTTGCTGCTCTGTAGTTTAGGCTGGCCTTGAGTTCACTATGTAGCCCAGGCTGACCTTGAACGTGAAGTGATCCTCTTGCCTCAGTCTCCTAAGTGCTGGGATTACAGGCATGCACCGCCATGCCTGGCTAGGATCCTATAATCTTACTTAAGGGAAAAATGGTTTCATTGCTGAAAAAGGATAAAAACCACCAAAAAAATCTCTTTCTAAAGGAGAAAGTTACAAACTAGAGTAAGATTTTTCAAGATTATGTAAACCAGGAAGCATGCTACCAGGCTAATATACCAGAGTACCCAAATGCTCTTGTGTAAGCCGCCAAAGTGAGTAATACTTGGTACTTAGCTGTCTTCAGCATAAATATCAATATTCAGTTTTGGGGACAAAATAAAGTTATTTTAGACAGACACTTCCTGGAAATGGATTTTATTTGTGTACTTACTAAAATCTTAAGACACAAAAACTTATGTTATTAACAAGCAGCAACTAGCTGTACCTTGGGACTCAGAAAAATAGAAGTATTTGTAAGTCACCAATGTCAGAAAATTTATGTGGAATGTCAAACTATTGTTTTAAAGGAGACTCCAGGCCCTCGTTTTACTCTATGCCAAAATGTTAAAAATTGAATTTCATAAAATCTAAAACTTAGTTGAGGTTCTGCTGAAGACCATAATTCCATTTTTACTCAAGGTAATAGAGTGAAGCAAGGAGACAGCCACACAATCTTCTAGCTTGCAGAGGTGTTCTGCACATAGGTGGTGAAGAAGTCTCACCCCACGTTCTTTACGTAGTCTAAGAAATTTGAGGACTTTGAAATCTCAGAAAGATGCCTTCAAGTTAAAAGAAAAGCACCACAAAACAATGTTACTCATCACAATCTGTAAATATAAAGCTATGTATTGTGATGACAAATGTCCTTCTGAAATTCCAGAACATTATCATGAACATTATCAAAAGCTGCTTGAAATAGTTTTTCAGTTTTGGAAAGGCATTTCCAAAAGCCAAGAGGATTCTCCAGCAGAAATTCATTTATAAGACAAAGTTCCAACTTTATAATCATAACCCAAATCATTAGAAAAAGATTTTTAAAGTACAAACTATGTAGTTCGAAAACACACTGCTGAAATTACTCAGTTAAGAAATTGTGGATCACTTCAAGTAAAAGTTACTAAAAGGAGCACTGACTAACCACCAGGGGGCACAATACATAACTCCTCAGAGCCAGCAGAAAGACTGGTTTAAGTAGTACTACACACTTTCACAGTCTTCGTTTTTAGTCATTACAATTTTTCTCAGATGTCTGAAACTCTTCAAATTTCAAATTTTAAACCTAACTAAAAGATTCCATAACATATCTGCTCTAAAAATCTGTAGTTTGTCCAAAGCCTCTGGAAATATTGCTGTTAATTGCTAGCAAAGGATTCAAGAGCAGTTAGTTCTAATATACATTAGAACAGATAAAGTAGTCTAAAACAGTAGCACATTTTAGCTTATCATGAATGGAAGACAAAGAAACTTTATTTAAAAAATGGGACACATCAGAATAGCAAAAATAAGAAGATGGGAAGAATTAGTTTGTATCTGTGCCACAAGAGACCTCTGTTCTTCCTCTATGTGTGTAGCCCACGGTCACAGGGCTGTAGGTCACGGCCTGTGTGGCTGGCCCACCTCGTCAGCCATGTTGAGAATGTAGTTGGCCATGTCGTCTTCTGTGGGCGCATCTGACACCACCCAAGACTCATTGGCTCCAGTCATCTGTAGACGACAAATAGGGCAATTTCTGTGTCGATCGCTCCTATCAGGGACACCAAAAAGAAGAAAGTATATTTTCACTCTTTCTTAAAATGAGTTTTACTGAAAAGTAATACATGTACATGGATACTAATAAAATAATTAGCCTAAAAAATACAGAGTGAAAAATAACTCCTAAATCCTCTTCCTCCAATGTGTATGTGCATGTATCTTGTATGCCATTATGTGTTAAAGCTGTTCATGCTTTTTTAGACATAAACTATGTAGATACATCAAGATTTATGTAACTCATCTCCCATAAAGGATGTTTAGCTTTTTTCCCTATCCTTTGCTGCTACAAGTAATGCCATTAATTCATATCCTTGTGTCCAAATAGGTGAATTTTTTTTTCATAATAAAAGTTCCTTACCCTGAGAGGAAACTCCCTCTCACAAATGGAAGACTTGTTCACTGCAAAGTGTGAAATTTATTTGTATTTGAATAGAAGACATTATGTTAGGAATAATTTTTTGACAGTGGAAGGGAACAAGGCAGCAAGGAAGGGTGTTACCAGTTGTTTTGCTCAGTTGTATCTAGGTGGATGGCTCCTAATAATGCACTTATGCTTAAGGGTCTGATAAAAAGTCCTGTGGTTAATCAGTATCATAAAGACTTTTTTTTTTTTGTATTTAGGACAGGGTGTACAGGGCATACAGGGTCTCACTGCTTCGGACTCATAGTGATCCTCCTGTTTACAGTCTCCCAAGTGCTGGGATTACAGGCACACACCACCACGCCCAGTCTCAATCGCAGCCTCAGCATGTCCCACGGGTGTGGTTGGCATGGCAAGCCAGGGGCTCGAACTCCCAGC